AGATTCAATGCAATTCCTATCACAATACCAATGGTGTGTTTCACAGACCCAGAAAAAAAATAATCCAAAAATTTATATGGAACCAGAATAGCCCTGAATAGGCACAGCAATCCTGAGAAAGAACAAAGTTGGAGGTATCACGCTACCTGATATTAAACTATACTTCTAGGCTATTGTAATCCAAACAGCCTGGTACTGGCATAAAAAAAACACAAAGATCATTGGAACAGAATAGGGAGCCCAGAAATAAACCAATGCCTATATAGTCAAGTAATATTTGACAAAGCAAGGAAAAACATACAATGGGGTAAAGAACATCTATTCAATAGAGGATGTTGGGAAAATTGCACAGATACATGCAAAAAAATGAAACTAGACCACTTTCTTACGACACACATGAGAACGGATTAAAGATTTAAATATAAAACCTCAAACCACAAAACTCCTAGGGAAAACATAGGCAGTAATATCTCTGGTTTTTTCTGACATATCTCTCTGGGCAAAAGAAACAAAAGAAAAAGTAAACAATGGGACCACATCAAACTAAAAAGTTTTGCACAGCAAGGGAAACCATCAGGAAAACAAAAAGACAACCTACTGAATAGCAGAATATATTCAGCAATGAACATCTGATAAGGGGTTAATATAAAAAATTTATAAAGAACTCAGATATCTCAACACCAAAAAACACAAACAATTCAATTTAAAAATAGGCAAGGGGCCTGAATAGATACTTCTCCAAACAAGATATACAGATGATGGCCAATAGACATTTAAAAAGATGCCCAAAGTCACTAATCACCAGAGAAATGCAAATTAAAACCACAAGATACCACCCTACACCTGTCAGAATGGCTATCATCAATAAATCACCAAACAAGTGTTGACAAGCATGTGGAGAAAAGGGAACCCTTGTGCACTGTTGGTGTGAATGCAGATTGGTGCAGCCACTGTGGAAAGCAATACAGAGGTTTCTCAAACAATTAAAACTACCTTATGACCTGGCAATGCCACTCCTGGGTATATGTCCAAAGAATCCCAAAGCACTAATTTGAAAAGATACATGCACCCCTATGTTCATTGCAGCATTATTTACAACTAGAGGCACGAAGGGGGGTGTCCCTCAGCCTGGTCTGCACCCTCTCCAATATGGGAGCCCTCGGGTGTCCCTCAGCCTGGTCTGCACCCTCTCCAATATTGGGCCCTGATTGGGCCTAAACTGGCAGTTAGACATCCCTCTGACAATCTGGGACCACTGGCTCCTAACTGCTTTCCTGCTTTATTGCCCCTAACTGCTTCTGCCTGCTAGCCTAATTGCCCCCTAACCACTCCCCTGCTGGCCTGATTGACACCTAACTGCTGCCCTGCTGGCCTGATCGCCCCCAACTGCTTTCCCCTGCCAGCCTGATCACCCTCAAATGCCCTCCCCTGCCAGCCTGATCACCCCCAACTTCCCTCCCCTGCCATGACCCGCCTCCTCCACTGGGCCCTGCCTCCGCTTGCGGCCATTTTGTGATGGCCATCTTGTGATGACGTTAGGACGTGATGCATGAGGGCGTGACAACCACCTAGGCTATTATTAGTATAGATACTAGAGGCCCGATGCATGAAATTTGTGCAAGAGTAGCCTTCCTTCCCCTGGCTGCCGGCCCTGGCTTCCCTCTGGCACCTTGGATCCGGGCTTCCCTCCAGCCATCAACAGGCACCTGGGACCCAGGCTTCCCACACAGCCCCAGCTTCATCTGGAAGGTTGTCCAGAAGGATGTCCAGTCTAATTAGCATATTATGCTTTTATGATCATAGATAATAAACAAGATACAGAAGCAACCCAAGTGTCTATCAGTGAGTGAGTGGTGTGGTACATACATACAATGGAATATTACTTGGCCATACAAAAGAAAGAAATTTGCAACAGCATAGATGAACCTAGGAGGTATGATGCTAAGTGAAATAGCCAGGGAAGGACAAATACTACATCATTTCCCTTATGTGTGGAATCTAAAGAGCAAAATAAAGAAATAAACAAAATAGAAACAGACTCATAGATACAGAGAACAGACTGATAGTTGCCACAGGGGAGAGGATTTGGGGGATTAGGTGAAAAAGATGAAGAGATTAAGAAGTACAAATTGGTAGTTATAAAATAGTCTTGGGGCCGAAACCGATTTGGCTCAGTGGATAGAGCGTCGGCCTTCGGACTGAAGGGTCCCAGGTTCGATTCCGGTCAAGGGCATGTACCTGGGTTGTGGGCACATCCCCAGTAGGAGATGTGCAGGAGGCAGCTGATAGATGTTTCTCTCTCATCGATGTTTCTGACTCTCTATCTCTCTCCCTTCCTCTCTGTAAAAAATCAATAAAATATATTAAAAAAAAATAGTCTCGGGGATGTAAAGTACAGCATAGGGAGTAGAGTCAATCATTTGTAATAACCATGTATGGTGCCAGGTGGGGACTGAAAATATTGGGGCAACACTTGTAGTGTATGTGATTGTCTAGTCACTGCGCTGTGCACCTGAAACTAACACAAAGTAATATAAATGTCAACTGTAATTGGAAAATAAACTTAAAAGAATATACTTCTTTTTACATGTATTAAAATAAGGTTTTTTTTGTCCCATTCTATTAACAGGTTTCTCCACCACTTTGTTTTAACATGTAGATAGATTTATGTAGTCCCATGGACTCTGAGAAGAGGATCGAGTGCACTTCTCTACTATATGAATGATGAATCTCACTGGAAACTTGATTTGAATACTATTTTATATGAATGTATATTAAACTGCTTAGAAATCAAGGTTGATATCAAGTCCATATGGCTTACAACTTTTTAATCCATATTTGACATGAAAATTGATGCTACACTATGTCATACTACAAATTTTTTGTTTCAAGTTGAGTAGTGTGCTTGCTAACAAGCCAACAGAACTCAGTTATAACTTCCGCTGCTACACTGACATCAAAAAACAAAGCGACTCAGACTATCTCAGAGTAGCCAAAGAATAAGTTGACCTTCTCAAAGAAGTAAACCTCCTTAATAACAATAGTCCTCGAGTGGGCCTAAGGGAGAAAATGCTTTTGGAAGTGCAGTAAGGGTGAGATGAGACTGGGTTATGGTTCCCTAACCCTGCTCTATGAGTTAACTGGCTAAGAAGAGATCTACTACTGGATTGGTAGATTCTAGACCGGGGGGGGGCCAAACTTTTTGACTCGAGGGCCACAATGGGTTCTTAAACTGGACCGGAGGGCCGGAACAAAAGCATGGATGGAGTGTTTGTGTGAACTAATATAAATTCAAAGTAAATATCATTACATAAAAGGGTACGGTCTCTTTTTTTTTAGTTTTATTCATTTCAAACGGGCCAGATCCGGCCCGCGGGCCGTAGTTTGCCCACGGCTGTTCTAGACCATGATCTCACCATCAATGAAAGCAGTAAGATCAAGAGTATATTTTAGTGAAATACTAAAATTTATCACTGTAGAATTACCAAAATCTTATGGCAAGCTACATATTGAAATAAATGTCTATGGGCATGTAAACAGTTTATGTTCAAACCTGTGTTAAGATTTTACAGACTATGTGATGTACTTTATTATCCACAGCCTTAACTTTAGTACTTTCTTTAAAGTTTTGAATCAAACCCCCTTTCCTGTAGGAAGATTTTCTATATGTTCTAATTTCGGTCTTCCTGCTATATAATCCTATAACAACCTGTACTCTCCCCTTATTGTAACACTCATTAAGCTTGAAATAACTAAGGACAATTTCCCCATCTCCTATATAATAAAAGCCTAATATGCTAAATGTCTGGTCGGCCATTCAACCAATCAAAGCACAATATGCTAATGATATGCTAAGGCCGCTCAACCACTCGCTATGACATGCACTGACCACCAGGGGGCAGACACTCCAACTGGTAGGTTAGCTTGCTGCTGGGGTCTGGCAGATTGGGACTGAGCGAGACAGGTCGGACACACCCTGGAGTCCTCCCGTGTCCCTCCCAGGCCCCTATCGTGCACCGGTGGGGTCCCTCGGCCTGGCCTGCGCCCTCTTGCAATCTAGGACACCCCCAAGGGATGTCAGAGAGCTAGTTTCAGCCCGATCCCGCAGGCCTGACCGAGGGACCCCACTGGTGCATGAATTCATGCACCAGGCCTCTAATTAATTATAAGCTTCACTAAGGCAGGAGCCATGTCTGTTTTGATTCCTACTGTATTCCCCAGCACAGGGCTTGGCACATAAATATATATTGAGAGGTTTATATGGACAAATAGTCAGAAAAAAACAACTCAATAAATAGCTACCAGAGTCTCTGAACTCTTTTATTATATTATAAATAAGACGAAGTAACTTTCACTTGTCTACTTTTGTGATGGTAGTTCTGGATCTACAATTGTCTAATGCTGTGCAGTAAATTCTGAGATATGGACAGCAGCAGAGAGCTAAATTACATCAGTTATGTAAAAATAATTATATCAGTTAAATTATTTTTATGAGGATCTATTTTATGCTATATTCTTTAAAACACAAAGAAATAGTGTTTGGTGAAAAAAGAGCACTTAGTGGATTGAGCACTTAAAGAAGACATTAACCAGAGAGCACATATTCCGGACTCTTCATCTTTACATTACCTTTTCAATATAGATGACTTTGCATTTTTGGAAATGTTAATTACTTAACTCTTTGAGTGCCAACCAATACCTAGGAACTATGCTAAAATTGCCAAGGCATTTTTGCTGATTTTATAGCAGTTTAGGAAAAAAATTATGAATCGCAAGTAAATGAAGTTACATATTCAAAAACTTAAGGAAACCTTTACTACATTGACATATTTAGCAATATCATCATCACTAATAAAAGCAGACTTAGAACTGGACGCCATTTCGAAGCTTTCTTTGATAGTGCTCCCGGCACTTTTGGCAAAAAACACTCAAAGGGTTAACCTAGAATCTGATAATAAAATATCTATAAAAGTATTAAATAAAATAGCAAATTTCCTTACCCAGGTCAGCAAATCTTCCCCAATTTGATCAATAACAGAGGTCTCATTCCTCTTTCGAACAGTCTTCATTTGCTCATTCAACCCAACTCAAGGGGAAAAATAAAATGGAAAAAAAAGTAAGCATATACTCATCACTGGTAGTACCAAGACCTTAAATTAAAAGGAAAAGACTCTGAGTAGTACAACTACTTCTAATCTCCTTAAATACAAACCCGGACACAATTCTTATACATCTAGGTATCTGTGAGCTCTATCTGAAAAACAGATGGTAAAGGACCAAACAATGTGGAAAATAGCAAATTACATACAAGATAGATATATCAAATAGTCATTTTACTTAAGACTCCATCTATAACCATACTTATAAAGTACTTGAATTTAAATAATGCAGGTCACTCTGCCTACTGTTCCTCTGAAAATGTCTATGTTCACAGGCAATGGACATACTCTAGCCTGAACTTGACAATGCATGTTGGTGAAACCTAAAATCATTCCCAAAGAAGTGAGAAGGCATGCATAGGGTGGCAGGTGTTGAAGGACAGTGATGGCATTCCTGGTGAAAAAAGATGAACCACGAAGGGACACGGGGAACAGTGACTCAGAGAGGAACGGGCACACTGCCATGAAGTCCGCGATGACCACCACCAGGGATCCCGCAGGAGAGAGCTCCCCTGTAGTCACTCGAGCGTCCCAAGCAAACAATAAAACAATGAAATGATCTAATTCATGGAAATGACACCACCACGGGTTATCTATTGCGTATTACTATTTGCAAAATGCATTTATCCATATATATTACGTGGGATGTATATTTTTAAAAACATACACACTATACTGATAGGAAATTTTCAAGGGTAGTTCTGACGACTCATGTTTTTCAGCTCAGACACTGACATTTGATCCCAAGTCCTGTGTTAACACTTTGAATAGAAAAGGCTGATGTGGGAATGGGGTGAAAGGTTTATTCAGAGATCCAATCACTTGATTACGTTGTACTCTTTTATATATTGGAAATGTTAGGGACAAAGATCAGAGTCAATTTCTCTTACTGTGAAGTTGAAGAATATCCTCCAAGTTTGAAAAAATTTTCCTTAGTTCTGAAGGTGACAGAATTCCTTCTCTGCATACTCGCTGGTAGAACACTTGATCAAGAACCTTTAGTGTTCGAACATGAGCTCTTTCAGTGTAAAATAATTCTAAACAGAAAAGAAGTAAATATAAAATGTGGCCTTACCTAGAATAATGCTATAAACAGTCCAGTTCCTATCTCACACCACACAGTTATTACAATATTATAGCTCATATTCCTATAGGCTTCAGCTGGAATTAACTAGCAAATAAGTTATATAATAATCATTTATAGTTTAGAAAAGGTGAAGTCATTTTTTTTATTCCACAGAACTCACCTACATATTGGCTCTAAGAGTTTAATACTGGCAAATGAAAAACATCATTATAAACTGTTTTGTACTTAAAAGGTAACAGTGTACTCCAAAACTCCTCTATCTTTTTAAAATAATAGCCACCAATCATAACTACATTAGAAAACCATAAGCCCAAACATCATATAGCCTTTAAATGGAGCCCTCCTCATAAGAACAGTACTCTTGGTTATCTAACACCTATCAAACCTCATTTCTGAGGCCGGACTTGTAATCTCACTGTCTCAATGTTATTGGGGACAAGAGGATATTTATGAAGTCACATCCTAAAGGCAGGAGAGGGCAGTGTCCACGTCACCTCTGCTGCGCACTTGCTGGGGGAGGAAGAGCTGCGCCAGCGTTAAGGGAGAGCTGGGTGCTCGTTTTCTCCCTGTCACTTATCAGCTGCACAATCTTAATTCCTTCAATTGCCCTGAGCCTTGGCATTCTCATTCATAATCTATGAACAAGATGAAGAGTCTGAAAGTGATGGGGCAAATGTCTCAATGATTTTTCTAGTTTTAAAGTTCAAGGATCCTCTATATAGTTTAATTTCATCTTCATTTAAAACAAAAGGCAAGCAGAAACTTGGAAGCAAACACCAAGGCCCAGGGCATTTTCTGCTATAATAAAACACACATAAACAACAACAACAACTAATTAAACTCACCATTAATCACTTCCTGCCTTTTGATCTCACAGGGCTTCAGTCCCAGCAACACCTCTCGGCTAACGAGCTGCTGCCAACTGGGTGGGTCAGTTTCCAAGTCATTGTCAAACTGCTCGTCCTCACTTTGACTTTCTCCAAAAGCGATGCTGTCTACCCTGGTACAGAAACAAGGATGGAGAGTCCCAGCTGAGGACACACGTGCACAATGGGAAACAGCAGGTCTTCACTCGTGCATCACAGCACAGAAGTCTGACAAACTGTGGACAGTGTTTCTTTAAAAAATCTCTTATTTTGCAATTACAGTTGACATACAATATTACATTAAATTCAGGTGTACAACAGTGATGAGACGTTTATGTAACTTACAAAGTGATCACCCGGATAAGCCTGTCTTACACCACAGCTGTGACAATGTTACTGGCTGTATTTCTTACGCTGCACTTAATGTTTCCATGACAATTTTATAACCTAACCGCTTCCCCTTTTCACCCTTAACAACAACCCTACTCTCATTGGCAACCATCTATTTGTTGTTTGAATCTATGGATTTGACTGTTCGTTTGTTTTTTAGATAAACCATATAACTGAAATCATATGGCATTTGCCTTTCTGACTTATTCACTTAACTGCTAAGTGAATAATACCCTCTAGACCAGCGGTCGGCAAACTCATTAGTCAACAGAGCCAAACACCAACAGCACAACGATTGAAATTTCTTTTGAGAGCCAAATGTTTTTTAAACTTAAACTATATAGGTAGGTACATTGTTACTGACCTACCTATATACTTTAAGTACTGTTGATATTTGGCGCCTCCCCGACGCTGCATATCTCACAGCCTGTCTGCACCGTGTCTCCCGTCGCCAGACCGACCGACACCCCCCACTTCTTCCAACGCCGACTTCTGCGCATGGGCCACGAAGTTTCAATCGCACTGTACGTGTGTGCTCGCACGTGGTATTTTGTGGAAGAGCCACACTCAAGGGGCCAAAGAGCCGCATGTGGCTCGCGAGCCATGGTTTGCCGACCACTGCTCTAGACCCATCCATGTCACAAATGTTAAGATTTCATTCATTTTATGGCTGAATAATATTCCATTGTATATATGTTCCGTATCTTCTCTGTCATTTGTCTACTGACGGACATTTAGCTTGCATCCATATCTCGGCTATCACATATAATGCTGTACTGAGTATAGGGTGCATATGGCTTTCCAAATTAGTGTTTTGAAATACCCAGAAGTGAAATTGCTGGCTAATAGGGTAGCTCTATAAACTTTTGAGGAACCGCTACAATGTTTTCCATAGTGGTTATCTCTACAGAAAGGTTCCCTTGCTCCACCTCCTCTCCAAAACTTATTTATTGATACGGCATTTTGAGGGATATGAAGTGGTGTCTCACTGTGGTTTTAATTTGCATGTCCCTGATAATTAGTGCTGTTGAGCAACTTATCATATATTTACTGACCATTGATCTCTCCTATTTGGATAAATTTTTATTCAGGTCCTCTGCACTTTTTTAAATTGAATTGTTAGGGGTTTTTGTTTTGTATTAGTATGATTTCCCTATACATTTGGATATTAACTCCTTATCGGATATATCATTAGAGAATATTTTCTCCCATTTAGCAAGCTGTCATTTTGTTTTGTTGATGGTTCTCTTCACTGTGCAAAATCTTTTTAGTTTCATGTAGTCCCATTTGCTTTTTTCTTTTGTTTCTTTCCCTTGCCTGAGAAGACATATCCAAAAACCTCCAACTAGAGCAATAATTAAGAGTTTATTACCTATGATTTCTTCTGAAAGTTTTATGGTTTGGGGTCTTACTTTTAAGTCTTTAATCCACTTAGAGTTTATTCTTGTATACGGTGTAAGAAAGTTATCCAAAGAGGAAAATGGCACAGTCTACAGTTACATTTATTTCTGGCATTCGAGGTTGGTTCATATCAGCAAATCATTTCAGGTTTGCAACGTGTCAGGTATGTCTCAGTGCCAGACTCCCAGCCACCTCTCCCCGAGCTGCTCTTCTCCCCAGACTCCACAAGTCCGCACCTCAGTCATGGGATCAATTGTTTTGACTTAGGTCTGAATCACATCTGACAAAAAGACGGGAACCAAGCGGAACATGACGCTTAGGCTGACAGCTATGCTATGAGTAACCAAGGCTTGTGTCTTCCAGCAATGGTTAGACTTGAATGATGCTGACAAGATGGCCTTGGAGCCATGTCTAAGAAGCTGGATCCAAGGTTCAAAAATGAAAAAAAGAAAATAAAATGGAGACTTTAAAAAGCAACACTGCAATTTAAACTCAAGTTGGAGAGCTGAGAGCTCTGAAGGAAGCCAGCTGCCACATGGTGAGGACACTCAAGGAGCCCGATGGAGAGGTCCGTGTGGCACGGAGCATTCCTCCTGCTCACAGCTGGCCCGGAGCGGAGGCCTCCTGCCAACAGCCAAGAACCCTTCCTGACACAGGGCAGCAGTGGATGAGAGAAGCATTTCCAATTTTGGATTCCGGTATATCTGAAATTTATTAAAGCAGATGATTGTAATCACTCAAAATATGAAAGACATTTGATAGCTAATAAAACCCTCCATAACTTAAAAGAAAGTTATCCAGTTCCATCCTTTTGCACATATCGCTGTTTTCCTTATACCATTTATTGAATAGACTCTCTTTACCTTATTGTAGTCTTGCCTCCTTTATTATAGATTAATTGATCGTAACAGGCATGGGTTTATTTCTAAACGCTCTATTCTGTTCCACTGATCTATGTGCCTGTTTTTTTTTTAATTTTTAAAAAATTGATTTTAGAGAAGGGAGAGAAAGAAACATTGATTGGTTGCCTCCCACATGCATCCCAACTGGGGATCAAACCCTCAACCTGGGTATAGCAACCTGGGTAATGTGAACTGGCTGGGAATTGAACTGGTGACTTTTCAGTGCACAGGGCAACGCCTAATCAACTGAACCACACTTGCCAGGGGCGTATGTGCCTGATTTTTATGCCAATATCATGCTGTTGTGGTTACTACAGCCCAGTAGAATAGTTTGGTATCAGGCAGTATAATACCTCCAACTTTGTTCTTTCTCGAGTGGTTCCATATGAATTTTAAGATTATTTGTTCTAATTCTGGGAAAAATGGCACTGGTATTTTGATACGACTGCACTGAATCTGTAGATGGCTTTGGGAAGTATTAACATTTTAAAGATGCTAATTCTTCCTAGATGAGCACAGTCTACACCAGTGATGGCGAACCTTTTGAGCTCGGCGTGTCAGCATTTTGAAAAACCCTAACTTAACTCTGGTGCCGTGTCACATATAGAAATTTTTTTTATATTTGCAACCATAGTAAAACAAAGACTTATATTTTTTATATTTATTTTATATATTTAAATGCCATTTAACAAAGAAAAATCAACCAAAAAAATGAGTTCGCGTGTCACCTCTGACACGTGTGTCATAGGTTTGCCATCACTGGTCTACACTTACATTTATTTGTATAGTTTTCAATTTGATCCTTCAATTTCTTAGAGTTTTCCAAGTATAGGCCTTTTACCACCTTGGTTGACTTTATTCCTAGGTATTTATGATGCAGTTGCAAATGGGATTGGTTTTTTAATTTCTCTTTAAGAAATAATTGTTTGTTATTATTGGTATAAAAAATGCAACTGGTTTTTCCTGAATATTAATTTTGTACCTTTCTATTTTATTGAATTTATTAGTTCTAATAACTTTTTGGCAGAATATTTAGGGTTCTTTGTTAGCTGTGGGTTTTCATGTGTGGCCTTTATGCTGAGGTATACCCCCTGTATCACCACGGTCTGAGTTTTCATCTAAATCAGCGGTTCTCAACCTGTGGGTCGAGACCCCTTTGGGGGTCGAAGGACCCTTTCACAGGGGTCGCCTAAGACCATCGGAAAACACATATATAATTACATATTGTTTTTGTGATTAATCACTATGCTTTAATTATGTTCGATTTGTAACAATGAAATTGTCACCACAACATGAGGAACTGTATTAAAGGGTCGCGGCATCAGGAAGGTTGAGAACCACTGGCCTAGAACTTTCTTTTTTTGTAGTGTTTGTGTGGTGTTGGTATCAGGATAATCTGGCCTCATAAAATGATTTTGGGAGTCTTCCCTCCCTCCATTTTTTAAAGAATAGTTTGAGAATAAGTATTACTTTTTTGAATGTTTGGTAAAATTTTCCTGTGAATCCATCTGGTCCAGTGCTTTTGTTTGTTGGGAGTTTTTTTATTACTAATTCAATTTCTTTAGTAGTTATTGGTCTGTTCATATTTGTTTCTTCAAGCTTGGAAGATTGTACGTTTCTAAAAATTTATCAACTTATTCCAGGTTGTCCAATTTGTTGCAATAAACCAGTTCGTAGTATTTCTTTATAAACCTTTGTATGTCTGTGGTGTTGGTTGTCTCTTCTCTTTCATTTGATTTTATATATTTGCCTCCCCCATTTTTGTTGTTGTTGATGAGTCTAGCTAAGGGTGTATCAACTTTATCTTTTTAAAGAACTAGGTCATGGTTTCATTGATCATTTCTTTTCCTTTTAAAAAATACTCTTATTTCATTTATTTCAGCTCTGATCTTTATTTTTCCACGCTTCTCCTCACAATGGGGTTTGAGGTTTTTGTTTCTCGAGGTAGGCCCGTTTCGCTACATTTCCCCATGAGAACTGTGTTGCTTGTGCCCCATAGATGTTGGTAACTGTGTTTTCATTTTCATTTGTCTCAAGGTATCTTTTCATTTATCCCTTGATCTTGTTAATCCATTCACTGTTTAGTAGCACATTAATCAGCCTCCATACTTGTGTTTTCATGTTTTCCTTATTATTTCTAGTTTTGTGCTATTGTCATCGCAGAAGATGGTTGTTTCCTTTGTAAATTTACTGAGACTTGTTTTGTGGCCTAACATGTCCTGGAAAATGTTCCATACGCACTTGGGAAGAATGTATATTCTATTCCATGCATTCATGTTTCTAGACCTATGTAACATACTGACATATCTCAGAGAAGAGGGGGTTGGGAGCAACAGAAAGAACATATATGCAGAGCCCACGTACACAGACAATAGTGTGCTGAAGGCGTGGGGTGGGGATGGGGCTGCGTGGAGGGAGGCATAGGGGTGAGGGTGAATTGGGGGTCATCTGTAATACTGTCAACAATAAAAAAGTAGAACAAGCCCTGACTGGTTTGGCTTAGTGGATAGAGCGTCGGCCTGCGGACTCAAGGGTCCCAGGTTCGGTTCCAGTCAAGGGCATGTACCTTGATTTCGGGCACATACCCAGTGGGGAGTGTCCAGGAGGCAGCAGATCGATGTTTCTCTCTCATCGATGTTTCTAACTCTCTATCCCTTTCCCTTCCTCTCTGTAAAAAAATCAATAAAATATATATTTAAAAAAAGTACAACAAAACCAAACAGAATGAATATTCTGTTGCTTTGTATAATGATGTTATAGATGTCATCAAGTCCATCAATCTAGTGTGTCATTTGAGGCCATTGTTTTCCTTACTGACTTACTCTCTGGGTTCTCTATCCATCCATGTAAATGGGGTGTTAAGCTCCCTACTATGACTGCCTTGCTACCAACCTCTGCACCTCTCCATCATCCTGTTTTATAGAGATACCCCTATATGGGTATGTAGAAGCTTATAGGAGCTGTGCTCTTGTGTGGGATTGATCCCTTATCATTACGAAATGCCCTCTGTCTTTTGTTACTTGCTTTAAATTCTATGACCTCTAAGTATTGCTAGACCAGCTCCCCCCCCCCCCACCCCCCCATTTGCAGGGAATGCCTTTTCCTCATCCCTTTGCTTTCATTGTGTGTCTGGATCTGACATGGGTCTAGAGGCAGTATATGCACCAGTGGTGTTTTTTTATCCATCCATTCATCTACCCCACGTGCTTTGCTTGGAGCATTCACATTTACATTTAAAGTAATTATTGATAGGTATGCAGTTGTTATTATTTTATTAATGGTTTCCTGATTAGTTTTGTAGTTCTGCCCCTTTCTCATTCTCTTGCTCACTCTCTTCTATGTCTCCTCTGTGGGTTGTGTGTGCCTCCTGTTGTGGTTGAGCCTCGACTGGTGCTGGCACCTCAGTGGGTAGGACTGCCCCGCAGGCTGACTGGGTGAGGGCTGGCTGTGACTATCAGACCAGCTGCGTGTGAGGGCAGGGCTGACCCCACAGAGCGGCGGGGCTGTAGGAGCAGCTGAGTCCACCCTTCCGATCTGTCATCTGTGGGACTGTGGGTGTTGCCCTGGTGCTGGCTCTGGAGCCTCCTGTGTGGGCTCAGGTCACTGCTGTGTGTGCTCGGCTGGTGCTGGCTCTGGAGCCTCTTGTTGGGCTCAGGTCACTGCTGTGTGTGCTCGGCTGGTGCTGGCTCTGGAGCCTCTTGTTGGGCTCAGGTCACTGCTGTGTGTGCTCGGCTGGTGCTGGCTCGGGAGCCTCTTGTTGGGCTCAGGTCACTGCTGTGTGTGCTCGGCTGGTGCTGGCTCGGGAGCCTCTTGTTGGGCTCAGGTCACTGCTGTGTGTGCTCGGCTGGTGCTGCCTGGGGGGCGCTACAAAGTGACCTGTGGTCGGCTGCTGTTATGCTGGAGGGGGAGGCACTGGGAAGAGCTCACACTGCAAGGCTGGCTGTCAATAGTGCCAGCTTGAGACCCTGTGGAGGTCATCATGATGGGAACTGAGGCCAGCGGCCACTGTGCTAGGCTTGTGACTCAGCTGAAGCTACTTTCCAAGGCAACATTGGCCACAGCTTATGCCAGGCTTGGGGCTACCTGATCAATGCAAATTGAGACTGGTGCTGGTTGCACTTGGAGCCACTTAGAAAGTGGGATGGGGCATGCCGTGGCCAGCGCCTGCTTGTTCGGGGTTTGGAGACCCCTGAGAGCTTTTAGGAAAATCCGCAGCAGGAGCTGAGGCAGACACTGGTGTGGAAACGCGCTGGAATGGCTCGGGCTGGCAGTGAAAGTTGGGTGGGGAGTGTCGGAGTGAGCCTGGCCGTAGGAGCAGTGCTAGCCAAGCTCATGGAGCACAGATTGGGAGCCCACCCCTGAGCCTCCAGATGGGCAGGGGAGGGGCAACGGGCACAGCGGGGCCTACCAGCCTCTCTGTGCCCAGAGAGTGTTGTTCTGATGGTTGTCCTTCAGCTTGCAACCCGCACCTACTCAATGTAGTTCCTCCTACATGCCCCTGGCACCTCCCAGCTGTTCTTGCGCTGGAGCCCGGACTGAGCGAGCTCCTGCGTGAGCCAGCACTGGGCCCCTCCAAAGGAATAGCTGGGGCACTGCAGCCCCTGCCTCGCTCAGAGGCAGTCTCCGCTGGTTTCAGAGCCCGATGTAGGGGCTCCTCTTTCCAACACTGGAGGCCCAGGTGGAAAGCCCAGCCTGGTGTTAGAACCCTCATTCCTCAATGGGATCTCCACAACCGAGATGGCCCTCTTATTCTTAACCACCACACGTGGGTGCGGGACCGCCCACTCCACAACCGTCAGTCTCAACAGGGCTTCTCCCTATTCTCGTTAGAGCTCCTCTAATCCAGCTGGCCTCCAGACGGTCCTCAGTGAGAGCTGCTCCGTAACTTCGTTGTGATCTGCTGTGGTCATGGGAGGAGGTAAAGGCAGCGTTTATCTACTCCACCATCTTGACCAGAATACCCGAGTCTCTTCCTTTAATATAGGTGTTAGGGCAAGAAAATATATTTCTTAAAGTATGCCCTACTAAAAGCTGCTGTAGGATTACTTACTTTCGAAAGGGCTTTGGTGTCCCATGTTCAGTCATCCTAAAACAATGGAAAAAAAGAGTCAAAAAACCACCAAAATGTTAATTAAGAAATGTATGCCAAAGTGTTCAAAAGTGGGTAAAACTACAGCGGCTGATAAATAATTCTTCTCGATATTTTAAGATTAATATCAAATAAATTGAAAAGCATTCAATATCTATCTAATATTTACTACCAATATAAGTTCTAGTTTCTTCCCAAAAAACACATGTGGGAAAAACGGTAAAATATAGGAATATTACTGAATTACCTTTCTGCTTCCCATTCCTCCTCTTGCACCTGGTCCAGTGGAGGAGGCAGAAACTCCAGGGCAGCACTGGAAGCACGAGGGGGGGCGTCCACAAGGTCTGCAGGCGCTGGGGATTCTGCAGCTGGCTTGGATCCTGAAGAGACAAACGGCACACATTCAATTCGCGCCACAGACATATACTGTCATGTACTGACTCAGCTGATGACAGCAAATAAATGTGTTCGTTTCAAAAGAGCTTCAACCTAATCCACAGTCACATTCATATTTAAACAACTGTGGGTTAGCTAGAATCAAAATTCTAGTATGTCACATTTTAAAATACACTAAAAACTAAATAGAAAATCATTTTTAAACAGCTTTTAAGTGTCAACATAAAACATGGCAACAACGCAGGAGAGCATATAAGAGAAAAACATTCTCACCTATCCTTTTCTACCTTAAATCTTTTTCATTCACATTTCAGATATTATGGTGATCCAACAAATAACTTCATACTTTTTTATTATCTTTAGGTAATATTCTCCCTGCCTTCAATTTCCCTCCATTTCTTCCCAATGTTTGATAATTATATTATTATTAATTGGGTTTTGGTTATTACTTAAGTGTAAACAATATCATTATTTATATACTAGAGGCCCTGTGCACAAATTCATGCACCAGCGGGAACCCTTGGCCTGGCCTGTGGGATCAGGCAGAAACCAACTCTCCGACATCCCCTGAGGGGTCCAGGATTGCGAGAGGGTGCAGGCCAGGCCAAGGGACCCCACCGGTGCACAACTGGGGCCGGGGAGGAATGTGGGAGGTTGGCCAGCCAGGGAGGGACCTCGGGAGGACTCCAGGGCATGTCTGGCCTGTCTCGTTCAGTCCCAATTGGCTGGACCCCAGCAGCAAGCTAACCAACCAGTTGGAGCGTCTGCCCCTGGTGGTCATTGTAGGTCAGAGTGAGTAGTTGAGCGGCCTTAGCATATCATTAGCATATTACACTTTGATTGGTTGAACAGCCGACCAGCCACTTAGCATATTAGGCTTTTATTATATAGGATATATATTAGAGGCCCAGTACACGAAACTCATGGCTGGCGATCAGGCCCAATCAGGTTCCCCACCTCCCCGCCCCCTGCTTCCCTTACCGCCTATGCGCTGCCACCGCGTGGGTCCCCGCCTCCTCCTTCCCTCACTCCCTCAGCGCCCCACCTCTGCCGCTGGTCACCTGCCATGTTCTGCGCCACCCCCTGGTAGACAGCGCACATCATAGCGAGCGATCGAACTCACAGTCTCCCGGCCAAATTCCTGAGGGGACAATTTGCATATTACCCTTTTATTATATAAAATATAGAAGTCTAAGCAACCATCTGACTGGTAGCCATGACGTGCACTGACCAAGAGGGGGCAGACCTCAACACAGGAGTGGAAACTTACAGGTATGTAAACATGGAACAGATTGATGAATCTCAGAGGGAAGGGGGTAGGGCGGAAAAAATAGATTAACCAAAGATCTTAGATGCATACTAGAGGCCCGGTGCATGGATTTGAGTAAAATGAGAGTTATAGTAAGAAAAAAAATGTCATGAGATATAGGAAAAAATGGAAACAACCCAAGAAAGTGGAGAAGGGCAGTCCTAGGATGATGACTGTCACAGGCTCAGGGCAGCAGCTCCCAACAACACAAGAGCGTGCAGGACAAGCCTGGGGCTGAGGCAGGTGTGTGCACACTGCTAGATCATGTAGATGGAAAAAACTGAGACTTGATAAAATTCTATATCCTTTATAACAAAAGGCTAATATGCAAATAGACCAAACAGCAGAACAACTGGAACCAAACAACTGGTTTGAGATGTGCTGACCACCATGGGGCGTGCATGGAACATGGTGGGCACTGGCCACGGCGGGTGGTGGAGCAGGTGAGCAGTGGTGCCAGACCAAGGCAGGGTGCTGGTCACTGTCATCGGGGAGAGCCTCTGGTGGTTACTGAAAATTCTTTATTCCCACACACCACGGTTCTGCCCAGCGCTCAAACCTGCTGCCGGCACCGAGGCTGCCACTCCCACCCACTGTCAGTGCCCAGCACCGGTCCCAATGGCTTGGCACCATCAGTGGGTGCAAGCGGCAGCTGCCGGCCCGATTGCCCCTGAAGGCTTCTCTACCTCCCCCTGCTCCTGATGGGAGATAGGGGCTGGCAGCCACCTCTTGCACCCGCTGCTGGAGCCGCCACTCACATCCACTGCCAGCACTGGCCCAGCTTGCAGCCGCTGCCCAGCGCCGGTCCTGATTGCTCGGCCCCATCAGCGAGTGCAAGTGGCAGCTGCTGGCTGATCACCCCTGAGGGCTTCTCCACTCCACCTGCTCCTGAGGGGTGATCAGGGCAGCAGCAGCTGCTCGCACCCACTGCTGGTGCCGGTCCCAATTAACTTTGCACCTTCAGCAGGTACAGTACAAGTGGGGCTGGCACTGTCAGTGTGTGGGAGCGGCGGTGGCAGGAGCAGGGCTGCTGGCAGACAGGGAACCAGGGACAGGAGCTGTGGTGGGAGGGCCGGGTGGGGGTGCAGAGGATGAGCTGAGACCCGCCCCTGTGCCTACTGCAGCCTCGTGGCCCACAGTTCCTTTCAAGGTGCACAAATTTGTGCAGTGGGCCCCTAGTATATATATGAGCTTAAGCGACCAGCCGACCAGACGCCCTCTCGCAATCTGGGACCCTTCGGAGGATGTCGGAGAGCTGGTTTTGGCCCGATCCGCACAGGCAAGGCCGAGGGACCCCACCGGTGCATGAATTTGTGCACTGGGCCTCTAGTATCTATATATTTGTTCCTTCAAGACATTAGTATCTTCTGGTTGTTGTTAATCCTCACCTGAGGATATTTTCTCCATCGCTCTTCAGAGAGAGTGGAAGGGAGGTGAAGAGAGAGAGACACTGATGTGAGAAAAACACATCAACTGGTTGCCTCCCACATGCACACCAACTGGGGGCAGGGAGCCAACCGCAACCCAGGTAGGTGCCTTTGTTCAGGAATTGATCCTGCAACCCTCTGGTGCTCAGGCTGGCACTCTAACCACTGAGCACACCAGCCAGGGCAAGAAGTTAGTATGTTAACTCTCTTCTATGTCAGATTAGGTATTTAGTGCACATTTCCTTTCTTCTACCTTCATTTCTTTCAACTACAATTTCACTTGTATGATTAATAGGATTTTTTACATTTCCATCCTGATCTGTAGCCACAACGAAATATTCTGTGCTTTGCCTGAGACTAATTCTGAAAGTCTAAAAACCAATATAGTGCCTATATTATTATAACAATATATACATATTGTCATATATAACATACATATACATACTATTCCTGCCAGGTTAAAAGGTATGTTAATTAGGATTATATGTTCTTTTCTAATGGTCTGATAATGTAATTCCTGGGCCATTTGAAATAAAATGTTTATTATATTAAAGTCTTATACTCATCAATTAAGATCATACCACTTTTTATTTTGCTTCATGTTTAAAATCATGACAACTTTCTGAACTGTTTTTCTAAATGCTTTTCTATTATTACTGTCAGAACAGAATTTTATCAACCCTCAAATGTTTTCATCTGCTACATGCCATACCACTGTGTGCACACCTTCTTTGACCCCTGCTTGTCCTGCACGCTCTTGTGCTCGTTGGCAGCCGCTGCCCTGGGCCTGAGAGCCATCATCCTAGGACGACCCTTCTCCACTTTCCTGGGCTGCTGCCATGTTTTCCTGGGTCTCATTACATTTTCTTAACATTACTCTCCTTTTGCTACAATGATCTCTTAAAATAATCTTCGAGTGAAAAGCACTTCTCAGGGAGACTCTTAACCCTGGAGCATCTGGAATGTCCTCCTCGTCTTCGTCGTGCTTTAGGGACGGTCGGAATGCAGGCTTCTGCCCAATGCCCCTTCCTTCCAGAAGCTGCAGACATGTTCTGTGTTCAAGCACCCAGTGTCCTATGGCACGTGTGATGCTGTGTGATCCCTGCCTTTCTCTTAAGAGCTTTGAGGGTTCTTTTTCCTTCTCTCTGGGGCACTGAAATTTCCGTAAGTTTTAGGTATATGGATCTTTTTTTATTATTATTCACTGAAGTTGGTTCCAAACGAGCTCTATTTGGCCCAGCCAATGTGCCTCAGTGGTTGGGCATTGATCTATGAACCAGGAGGTCACAATTTGATTCCTGGTCAGGGCACAGGCCCAGGTTGTGGGCTCCATCCCCAGTGTGGGGCGTGCAGGAGGCGGCCGGTCAGTGATCCTCCCTCTCCCTCCACTATGACGTCAGTGAAAATGTCTGTTTTCAAAGAGGGAGCTGTAGCGGAAATGTCTTCTGTTCTTTTTCAGCTCTGGGAAGCTTTCCTGTCATCCGTCTCTTCTCCGTTTTCTCTGCTGACATTTTGTGAAAGAGCCCTCTGCACTGGTTGTTCTCTACGTAATTCTTACCTCTTTAATTTCTGTGTCTTGCTATATATTCTGAAATGTCTCCCTGACTTTATTTTAGGAACTGAAAATACATATTGGCAGTTTGAAAATATGTCCACAAGTTCTTTGACACTCCCCTCCTCAGGGGTAAAGCCTCCATTTTTCTGTCCTTGAGTGTGGACTAGACTTATGACTTCCTTCTACCTCGCTGAGGTGGCAGCGTGAACCCACCGAGACTGAAGCAATGGGAGCGCGGGGGCTTTTTCTTGCCCTTTCTTTCGAAGCCTCCTGGGAGGTCAGCTCCCATGCTCGGCACACTCTGCAGGTCAATGCGGAGCCCAGACGGAGGCTTCCAGCAAGGAGCAGACCTTCCTGTCCCCACCTCTGGCATGAGCAGAAGGTCTCCCACCCCAGCTAAGCTGACGCCTCCACTGCAACCTCGGAGCCCATCCAGACCCGCCCAGCACAGCAGCCCCTCCACCTCACCCACCAAGAAAGTGACACCATAAATGTTTTCTGTGTTAAATCATTAAGTTTTGGTGTAATTTATCACACACAATTAATAAATAAACTATTGTACTATATGTAGTAGTTATATTAAGACGTTTTGTGGTCTCTGAATGCTCCTTTTCATAGCAGCCTATTTTGGTTTTACAGATATAAGTGGAACCTTGCTTCTTGCACTTAATTTATTCCAGAAGGCTGTTTGAGAAGCGATTTGTTCAAAAACCGAATCAGCAGCAACACAAGCAAAAAGACATGAAAATATTCACAGCACAATTTCCCCGAGATGTTAACAACGCAAGGTAGAGCAGTGACCTGACTCACTCACGCATTCCCTTGCTTGTCCTGAGATATGCGTGACGCATCATACAGGCATCAGCATGAAAGGGCTGTTAGGTTGAGAACCAAAGTTTTGCTCAACAACCACCAAGACATTTTTTTCTCTGAACAACTTGGTCAAGAACTAAATTGTTCAAGAATTTTCCCCATTTATGCTACTTTAAAATGCATTTTTTTTCAATCTCAAAACCATGAATATTAGAAAATTTTTAAATAGCTTGTAAGTAACTTATAGAACCACATCCTATATAGTAAAAGCCTAATATGCAAACTGTCCCCTCGACCAGGAGTTTGACTGCTCACTATGATGTGCGCTGACCACCAGGAGGCGGCACGGAACATGGTGGGCATAGGCAGCACGGCACTGGCAGTGGGCAGCAGTGGAGGTGCGGCCGGCCCAATGAGAGTGGGGCCGCGGTGGGACGGTGGAGCAGGTGAGCGGGCAGCACCAGGCCAAGGCGAGTGCAAGCACGGGCACCGATTGTCCCATAGACGATGACCAGCAGCCCCACTCCCCACCCGGTTCCCAGGCACTAAGGGAGCCCGGCGAGGGGCCCAGCCTTGATCGATCACCCCACAGGCAGGATGGTGGAGCAGGTGAGGAGGTGGAGCCAGGCCAAGGTGGGGTGCCAGGCAGGGCTGCAGGGCCGCGAGGCTGGGGGCGCGAGCTGGGGAACCCCACCCATGCACGAATTTGTGCACTGGGCCTCCAGTGTACGTCATAAAAGAAATTCTCATTATTTAGACCTGAATGGCAACAAAAGTACTAAATATCCAAAAAAAGAAGTATTTTAATTGTAAAAGTGGTCAAATGTATGAAGGAGACTTGACTTTGGGTGGCAAACAATGCGATATATTAATGATGTATGATGGGATTGTAGACCTGAAACCTGTAGAATTTCATTAACCAATGTCACCCTAATCAATTCAATTAAAAATAAGCATCTTCATTGGAAAACTAATAAAAATCAGAATATTTTAAAATGAAAAAAAAAAATGATTTTTTCAAGTTCTTATCTATTATCAAAATTATTGTTTCCTGGTAGGGGAGTGTTTCTGTTCAGTAGACCTGTTTCACACCACTGTCTCGCATGCTTGGCACTATGTGTTATCTTAGGTCTCGACTCTGAGAAGCACACTTTGCCGAGTGAGTGATGCTATTCCTATTTAAGAACACAAGGCCTGGCCAGTACCTGGCTTCCTTGGGGCTCTAGGAAGGAGATCCATTCCCGCGGGGTGTTCTCTGAGCGGGGGTCCCTAGCACGCCCACTGTCAGGCTTTAGGGTCCCAAACATTAGCGCTCCAGGACAATCGTGCTGTGGAGAACTTGACTCTCCCTACACAAGTCATTCGACTTCCCTACAACAGGGCCCCTTGCTTCCCCTGGTACATAAAGGACAGACTGCCCACAGCCTGCAGTGCAAGGAGCAGAAGCTGCTGACATGATTGCGTTGATTAGACTTTTGGTTCCGTCATTTCCAGCTTTGCCTCCTGTCGATGCACTCCACAGCCAGCCCGAGCCTGCAGGCTCTCCTGGGCGACGGGCCGCAGTGGGCTCCTTCACCAAGTTATGGGCTTCAGTTTCCTTTATGCTGTTTCATCCACCAAACCACCACTGTCCTTGTTCAATCTCCCAAAAATGTGCTGACATTTCTTATTTGTTGATAACATCTTATGTTCGTCTACCTCCTTTTTCTTTGTTTTCTCTTTGTTGCCTACCGTGCTTGTATTTCACTGAGACACGGAGCCGGGAGTGACTGCATGTATATAATCCAACACCTTCAGAGTGCTGTGTCAGACAGTCTCCAGACTTTTCTCCAAATGTCGCTCCTACTTCTTGGTCTTAAATAAAAACCTGCCTATCCTATGGGGAGGCAACCTTTCCTGTGACCACCCTCTCCCGTGGAGACTTGCATCTGTCACGCACTGCGCTCAGCAGGTGGATGACATGGATTCCTTCCGAAGTACATTCTTCAGCCCACTGTCTTGCTTCCTCCCTCCCTGGACACTGCCACCTGTCCTCCTCCTCACAGCAGTCACCTAGTAACACCACCTGTGGCTGCGGCCTCAGTTCTCCTCTTACCCCGATGTCACATGGCCTCAAAACCCACGTGCATGTTAAGCTATTCGAACTCCCGTCTCCGCGCTAGCACCCTCCTCCACGCCACCTCAATGACCACTCCCACCGCTTTAGCCTTCACCTTGGCATCACCAAAAACCGACTGCCTCCCAAATCACTAACACAGGCATTGCCTCCTCCAGACAAAACCACCTCTTCTCCCTGCTCACATGCCTAATAAACCCATGAGGACAAGTGCTGCTTGAGAACATGGTAATAAGCTCTTCCACAATTTCTGCGATGACTTCCTGTCTGTCTTCACTCTTTAAATCCCCTCTTCACCGAGGTCATTACTCTGAGGAATAACCTTGTCTTTCATCTCCTCCCTCCTTCTCCAAACTCTGTTCCATTGGCTACAGTTTATCCTGTGTCCCCAGCCTCTGCCTGACCGCTGGCTTCCCCTAGCAGTGACATGCATCCCTAGTTTCTTTAATTGCAAGTTTCCCTCAGACCTCCCCCATCTGCCCTGAGCCACGACAGGCCTCCACACTCCCTCACCTCTCCTCTAGGGGGTTAGTGCAATTGCATTTGTGTGTAGGACTCTCTCCCCATGAGACTAAACTCTGTGGGGCAGAATCTATGTACTTATCGTGTGCTAACATCTGGTAGGAAGCTAATGCCTAATAGAAAGCTCAGTAATAGTTTTTGAATGGATGAGAACTTGAAAATCATCATTCAGCATAGATCTGTCACTAGTTGTCAAATATTAAAACTAAATTTAACTGGGAATCAGTCTTGATTAAAATAACCTGCCACGCTGTTTCTTAGTTAGTATGATTGTTTTAAAGTCTTGACACTTAGTTAAGCTGAACTACAGCTCACCCATATCATTCTCTTTCCCTCCGTCCTGGGAGAGAGTGGCCACTGAAGCCACCGAGGACACGGAGCCGGCAGGCAGGCACCCAGCGTCAGCTCCGTCACTTGCTGGCCCGCTCTGGCGCGACTTAGCAGCATCCTGGGGCTCGGGGCTCACAGGTGGGGGTGGGGGTGAGTGCTTAGGGTGGCGCGGCTTCTGTAGCTCCATGGCTCTGCCAACTGAACAGAAAGAAATGGTCAACAATTTGTGTTTCAAAGCAGCTAAAAGATGATGTCAAAGGTCTGGAAAAATGTCTAAAACATGGTAGGCCCTAGAACACTAGGTTAATCATTACAGAGTGAGAAAGGAAGGGAAATGAGCGGAAGGGGGAGAGGGAGAAGAAGATGGAAGAGGGCTGAAAGGAAGAGAGGGAGATGGTGCAGCGTGAGGGGGAGACAGGAGGTGACAAAGATGAGCAAGAGAAAAGGGGAGGGCGCCATGGTGGGGGGGAGCGGGGTGCTGAGGCAGGCAGGTCCGTAGGGAGCACACTTGCTGGTACCAGTGAAGAGAAAGCCTTTGAGCTCTATGAGCTCTAGAAGCTCCCCATTCTCCCCAATCCTCGTCACTTCATCACAACGTGCCCTGGTCCATCCGGGTACCCCTCCTGCTCCTGTCAGTCACCTCCCTCGTTCCAGAGGCTCTTCTCGTCTCCCGGGAGCTCCTGGTCAGCATCTGGGAAACACCCCCTCTCCTCCACTTCTCTGAGTTCCCCTCACCCTCCCAGGGCTTCTCCAAGGGGCGCCATGGCCCTGCGGGAGAGCGCTCCCTCACCTCTCCTCCACTTCTCTGAGTTCCCCTCACCCTCCCAGGGCTTCTCCAAGGGGCGCCATGGCCCTGCGGGAGAGCGCTCCCTCACCTCTCCTCCAGGGACTGAGCACAACTTGAATTTGTGTGTGTAGGACTCTCTCCCCATGAGACTAAGCTCTGTGGGGCAGAATCTATGTATACTTATCTGTGCTAACATCTGGCAGGAAGCTAATGCCTAATAGAAAGCTCAGTAATAGTTTTTGAATGGACTCATCGTGTAGGACAGTTAGCGTCACTCGGTCCCAACCCGTCCCCATGCCACCCTGCCAGTGTGCCCAGATGCGGCCCTGGACCCCACAGGCCTCGGGTCTTCCCACAGCTCCACGACTCCACTTCCTCTTCAGCCCTCTCCAGGGCTGATGTCTCCCTGGGCCTGACGGTGGGGAGGTGAAAGTGTGAGGAATCTATGTATAAGAGGACTGAACAAAGTATGGTGGAGAGACCCATGCCCATTTTCTGTGTTTTTAATTTTTAACTTTAATGATCAGAACTTGAATACAAACAAAATTAGAACAGGTGGATAAATTATATTATGGATAATGAATGAGATACTCTGCTACCATCACAGGAGAGGTTTATAACAATTATGTAGCCACATGGGGGAATTCAGTGCAGATAGAACACTGAATGGAAGCAGGCACATTGAAAGTTCAGAGGAATCATGTCAAGAACACCCTTCTCCAGCAATCCATTCTAGCTCAATGAGCCCGTTAAAAGGTGGCATGGGACAGCAGAACACAGCATTTTAAACTTCCACATACTTGCACTGTTGTCAGGACGGCTGGGCCTCCGTGGGGGCCCCAGGATGCTGGAGAATCCCCTTCGCTTCCCCTTTTCTTCGCCTTCCCTCTCTTTCTTCATACTTTGCTAGAGTTAAGGTACAATCGAAGAGATAAGAGATACATAACAGAGTGGGTTTCTGTTGTTGCTTTCAAACATAGAAATGCAATTCCAATGGTCATTTGAAAGAAATTGGTTAAACATAAATGAAACACACACACACACACACACACACACACGATACTCATTAGAAACTGGCACACAGTACTGTGTATAGATCAAACTTAAGATACCTGGGAGAGGTGGAGGAGTGTATATGGGAGATAAATACAGTGTACAGATCATGCATTATAAAGTTGTACGCTTGAAACCTGTATAATTTTATTAACCAATGTCACCCCAGTAAATTCAATAAAAAACTTAAGACATTTTTCAAACTCTTTAGAGCTGATAACTTTGGAAAATAAAAGGGTAGTTTTATAACACATTTACTGGGAGCTTGTTCTAAATGGTTCATTTATCCATTGAGCAAACATTTACTTACTAAGCTCATAAGATGTGAGCACACTATGCTAAAAGCTGGAGGTCCAATGATGGAGCTCCTTGCCCTCACAGAGCTTCACTATCAAATAAAAATTAAACAAAAACACAAATCCTTACCAACTATGACAGGCACCACAAAGAAAAGGATAAGCTGGGGGTGGTACTCTGTGTAAGTCGCTGTTTTCAACTTTTCATACTTTCCAGTAATTAGTTCACATCCCTGCGTTCTCACTAGATTTGAGTTTCTGACAACAGGAGCCGTATCGTATCTAACACGCATCCTGCACTGAGTTGCTGAAAAAGTAAACACTAAGCAGGAAAGCATCGAGCAAAGGCAAAAAGCACCAAGACCCGCACACAGCGCTCTCCCAGCCTCACCTTGATTTTCGGGAGGAACCCAATCCGACCCCGCTTATGCTCCAAATTCCGAGGCTCTTTCACTTTTACTCCCAAATGCTTCATGTACATGAAAATAACATACTGCATTGTTGAACTGGAGGAGAACAGAGTAAGTGAAATAAGGCTTCTGAAAAAGGAGGGTGGGTAAAATAAAGATAGCAACTGACTCCCCAAACCTCAGGGATGGAACTCTTAGAATTCATCCATCACATGGAAAATAAGGAATTACCAGGACAGGATTCTATCTCAAGACACTAGAATATTAGTCAAATAAAATATAGGCCATCAGAGGGAGACGGTCTACATTTTTTAAGTTAAAAGAAATAAAATATAATTCATGACTGACAAAAGAAAAGAGTTTATTTTTATTTCCTTAAAATTCTAGAATAAAAGTTGCATTACCTCTTATCTTCTTCTATAGCCTGAGCAGTCATCCTAAAAATAAAAACATTTACAAATGAAATATTAAAGCTTAAGAAAAGCGCTGCTATTACACCCAGATGCCTGAACCAGCAGAACAGAGCCACAGGGACTATAATTCTAAGAAAAACCCTCTATCCCCAGAGGAGCTGCATGCTTCTCACTCATGTCCTGTCATCAACTACAAACGTTTTATAGCAAGAAATGTTATTTCCAAACCTCTGAACTTAAACCAATAAAAGCATTTAACCTGGTCTTCATCAGCTAGAAATTTTGTAGTTACTCATTTTGCTAATACCTAGAAAAAGAAACTCAAGAACTTTATTTAAAATAAATTATCAGCAAAAATAAGAAAATAATAAAATAAAATATCAGCAAAAAAAGTAAGTAAAACATTCAGTTTATCAAGCACCGTGACAAAGTAAGTAGCCCCGCCCACCTAGCCTGGCCCTCTTCTGGACATGCTCAGAGGGCACGTCTCTCAGCAGAATAAAGGGCATTTCTACCTCACGTCTGTGACTTACAACACTTCTTCAATTTTGGCCACGATCTGCTCTGCGCACGCCCGCTCCTTCTCCAAGGTGACCCGGTCCTTGTCTCTCTCGACGTCAAGTTTGGTCAGTTCACTTTCAGCCAAGGTCAGCCCCATGCTCCTTTTCTGCCTGAAGGGAACAGGAGGCCTGGCCTGGAGTGGCTCAGAGGAAAGCATCTCCCTCATCAGGTTCCACAGCCACGAGTTTCCAGCACCAGGCACAAGGCCCCGGCGTTCATGCCAGCACACCATGTCCGCTAGGACAACAGAGGACAACATTCCAGAGGCAGCCAGCCACTCAACAGAGCACAGACCCTGAAGGAACACACTCAGCACAGACAAACGGGGAGTCACATGGGGTGGGAACTATGAACTCTCAATATCCAAACACTTTGACTCCAGATGCTCATTATGCTTTAGTAACAGAGATAGAGACCAGATGCTAAGCCGAGGATTTAATGCATAACCTACCAGTTCTGTCTCCACCCGCCAGCTTACCGGAAATCCTCCAAGTGCCTCTGAATCTCAGGGTGCACCCGTTCCTGCATAGTGTGGATATAGTGGCGATGGAGATCCTCAGGAATAAGCTCAGGTCTTCTTTTTTCTGAAAAGAGGAAAAGGGAAAGGATTACTTGATCTACAGGTATAATCTGTGCATTATCACTGGCAGCGCACCAATGCGACTGGTGTAAGCTTATCTCCGAGTAAGACAAAGAGTTCTTCAACTTCATTCTGTATTTCATCTCATAATTCAGATTTCATTGACCCTTCAATGCGGATGACCTACTGGTCACCACATGACACATAACACCGTTAGGAATGAGCCGGGCTACATAACTACAGAGACATAATTCTCCAGGATATTGGTGCTCCAAACTTACCTAGATCTACTGATATACATAACTACAGAGACATAATTCTCCAGGATATTGGTGCTCCAAACTTACCTAGATCTACTGATATTTCATCAGGAACAGAAACTTTCAAGTGCTAAAACAAAAATGCAAAGAAAAAGTGAGACAGCACTAAGGGCTTTTCAAGATGCATACAGTGCCTGTATAAAGTAAATTAACAGAGCCTGGACACCTATTTTCACAAGCACCTTCATGCATAAGCTCATTTCCTGTGCTCCCCCACCCAGTGTCACAGCTCTGGTGTGTTCTATTGTTTAACCTGGAAAAGAAGCCCTTTCCACAGATCATGCTATAAAGGAATTATCTACAATATTTACTAAACGACTAAATGCTTCTGTGCCTTACTTATTCTTTCTGGAATGAATGAATACTGACTTTGGTTTTCTAGAATCTGGTTACTCTACATCATTTGAATTAATATAGGTAAAAACTAAACTATGTGTATATATTATTATATGGAAAATTTACTCATATATAACTACTAGAGGCTCAATGCACGACATTCGTGCAAGAGGAGGCCTTCCTTCCTCCGGCCACCGGCAGGCACCCAGGGCCCAGGCTTCCCTCACAGCCCCGGCTTCGTCCAGAAGGTCGTCTGGAAGAATGTTCGGAAGGACGTCCAGTCCAATTAGCATATTATGCTTTTATTATTATAATTTTTATTTACTGTATTTGAAATACTCCCTCTACAGACCATGACATTTCCAGTCCCTTTCCTTAAAGAACCCTCACAATAGTCACACCCCCAATGAGAGAGTTAGCAGATGTCATTTCTGAGGATTTGGAGTCTTAAATATCCAGTGACCATCTGTAGCATTTACACTACTGAACTAATTAAAGTAGCCGTGTTTTAGTTTTGTACAGCTAGGACTTCCCCCATAATAACTGCAGTTTCTGGTCCCACTGTTAATTTAGAAATGTGTTTTCCTTCCCATCAATTTGGAAAATATCTTAAAAATAAATTGTTTTTGCAGTTACAGTAAGTATCGTGACCTCTGTATACTGACTCTGTATTGTACACCTACTTAAGTCATACACTTTCAGAATGTAAACAATTCCTATAAGATCTGAAGTTTTATATTTGAAAATAAATCACTGTTAAAAATTATGAGATCGCTAATATTCATTTGAAGGACAGGGAAGTGATTTCAAAGCTTTCTCTTTAACTGATGTTGCCATGCTGCAGCTCAAATCAGCTTTCCTAAAAGTATTTCTAGCACAAATGCAAAAAAGTAAATAAATGCTCATTTATGTATGTGGGTATTTATATGAAAAAAATATCACCTGTGTGTCAAAAATAATTAGCAAATTAATCAAGGTTCTTACATTTTAATGTTAATAAACTTATATAGATCAGTAGCAAGATATAAAGTTTTAACTTAGCATGGAGCTCTATATGTGAAATTCAAATACACTTCAATATGCTGTCATTTCTTAATAAATATGATGTGTAATATATTAAACAATGGCAGTAAAATCAGAAGCCTAACATTCATTCAAAAAATATCTGAGTGGCCACTCTGTGCTGCGACCTATTAATATCGGGAGAACAGCAGACAACAGACGGATAAAAACCTCTGCCCTGATGAAGCTTACATTCAGGGTAGAGGAGGAGTACAAACGAACAAAATAAGTTAATAAAATATAAGTTCTATGGACAAAAATAACAGGAGAGACAGCAGCATAAAGTGAAAGGGGTTACATTTTAAGTGGGTTGGTCAGGGAAGGCCTTCCTGAGAGGTGATTACATTCAGCAGTGTGCAGGCAACTGTAAAGGAGCAGAGAAAGGGGAGCTGGAGAAAGGAGAGGCCCGAAGTTTCTGTGCATGTTTACTGCTTTACGGTCTGCAACTGACGTAAATGGCTCAACAGCAAACAAGAACTGGTGGTGCAGGGCAGAAAGCGCTGCGGCTACAGCAGCGTCTCTGTGCATGAAGCAATGCACACGGTATGCCGGAGGAGAGGATGTATCTGTAGACTACTTTACATTTCTCAGGCAAACAGCCAGGTCATCAGCTGAGAAAAGGACAGGAGAGGAAGTGATAGTTTTAGGAGAAAGAAGGTATAAAACAGTCATATGAGAGAACTGCAATATGGAAGAACTAGGGACATAGAGTGATTATCCAGGGAGCATTAGGGGCGATTCTCCTTTCCCTAGAGCAAAACGAGTAACATAACTCTTAGGAAACACTATTGCCATTTACTATCATTCATGTAAATAAGATAGTTTTCACCAGTTTTTAGTTAAACTTGTACCTACAAACTTCAAAGAGGCCAAGCGGAGTTCAAGTATGCAAGTGTTACCCTTTGGATCCTGACATATAAATGTAGATCATTTGTGTTCTCTTTTTATTCCCTCGTCCTAATCATACACACGTGACAACAGATATGCCTACAACTAATTTAGAAATGATAAAAAAATAACAGCCAGGAGTAATCAATAACTGACAGATGTCACAAAGCACAATAATAAGTCCAAAAACACAGAGGGAGCCCTGGCTGGTGCAGCTCAGGTGGTTGGAGCATCATCCTGTCCACCAAAAGGTTCCAGGTTCGATCCCCGGTTGGGGCATGTGCAGGAGGCAACCGAACCGATGGATGTTTCTCTCCCCCCCCCCCCCCGGCTCCCTAAAATCAATTTTTAAAATAATTTTTAAAAAGTGAAAGAAAAAAATCAAATGGGAGGGAAAACTGGAAGTAGGAGGCCGATATCTCAATGTACTAGAGCAGAGAGTTTACTATTAACTTGGTAACTTACTGCAGATCGATCCAGGAAGAATTGATGAAACTCAAGGAAGATACGACGAGTCTCCTTGGAATTGGTTTGTTTATAAAGGTCTGAATAGAGATAACAGAGCTGTAGTAAAGAAGAAAATGAAAAAGAAAAGTGAGAAATCTTGAAAAATATAATTAATCTGTTATATTCTCAGAGAGTATGAATGTTTGGAACAGGCAAGTCACCATAAGCAATGTACTAGAACAAAGGTAAGAGTAATAGTTAACACATTCAACTAAGTGCTTAAAAAAATAAATTAATAACATTTTAAGTATCTTTCATGTCTATCCTTATATGTTTAGAAAACTGAAAAAAAGTCTGTTCACTTATTTCACAGAAGTGAAAAGTTTTATGGTTTATTAATCAATGTAAAAACTTTGAATTTGCTAAATCGTAAAATATATTACCAATGTCGCAGGGTCAAACTGTGAAACTACATGGTGTAAAAACACAGCCAAGTGAGCAGGGCGCGATTTCAGCAGTTCGATGCTCTGGAAGCAGCTGCACTGCCCATTGATCTAGAAAAAGAAACAATTACACATCAGTGACTCCAACACAAATGCAAATGTCACGTGAGCTCAACTAAACATTAACTATCAAAATCCACTTAGATCTACCGTAAAAAATTCAAGATTTGAGAAATTTTACTAGAATTTATTAGCAACATAGGCTATGGAATCTTTTCCTCTGAAATGAGTATTTCAGGGGAGAGGCTGGGAGTAAGACCATCTTGGGAGAATGCAAGTTTAGAAGATGATTATCAAGGAGCTGAGGCATCTATAAATCAGTACACAACTATCTAACAGCACTTCTGCAAATGTCATGGAAGACTCTCCGCCTAATAACGAACTAGCTGTTTTCCTTTTGCACTAATCACAGAAATGGTGATAGAAAATGGAGTTGTATCATTTTAAGTAACACCAGCCTATAATAAATATGTATAGTCCCTACCACACAGAAAACAGTAATCGTTAAAATTAAGGTAACTAAAATAATAATTTTCATATAATTTTTCACATGTAAAATAAATTACAGTGAGACTAAAGTTAATCTAAGGAACAATACCAATCCAACACAATCTCTCTCAGAAAATATGAGGAGGCTGGTGCCATTGTGGGGCTCAGCCCACCTGCTTTTCCAGATGACCTAATCCTATCTAATAATAGACAAATAGGGTAATTAACCGTACCTCCGATACGCTTCCCATTGGCTAATCAGGGCAACATACAAATTAACTGCCAACCAAGATGGCGGCCGGCAGCCAGGCAGCTGAAGCGAACAGGAGGCTTGCTTGCTCCAGTGATGGAGGAAGCCAAGGTTCCCCGCCTGCCGCGGCCCGGCTCTGAGCCTGAAAGCAACAGCTCCGAAAGCAACTATGTTTCAATTATAGAAGCTAAACAAACCCCAGATACCTGCTTTCAGCAGTCGAGGCCTCAAGCTGGAGCCGGGCCTCAGAGCTGGAGCCGGCTCTCAGCTCCAGTGACAGCCATAGAAGGTAAATAAATCCCAGAATAAAAAAAAAAAAAAAGAAAAAAAGGAGAGGTTGGGAGCTTCAGTGGCTGGCCAGACTGAAAACGGCCCTCAGCCCCTCACCCAGACTGGCCAGGCACCCCAGTGGGGACCCCCACCCTGAAGGGGGTGTGACCAGCTGCATACAGCCATCAGCCCCTCACCCAGGCTGGCCAGGCACCCAAGCGGGACCCCCACCCTGATCCAGGACACCCTTCAGGGCAAACCAGCAGGCCCCCACCTGTGCACCAGGCCTCTATCCTATATAGTAAAAGGGTAATATGCAAATTGACCCTAACAGCAGAAAGACTGGGAATGACTGGTCACTATGACACACACTGACCACCAGGGGGCAGATGCTCAATGCAGGAGCTGCCCTCTGGTGGTCAGTGAGCTCCCACATGGGGGAGCTCTGCTCAGCCACAAGCCAGGCTGATGGCTGCCAGTACAGCCGTGGTGGTGGGAGCCTCTCCTGCCTCCTCAGCAGCGCTAAGGATGTCTGACTGCAGCTTAGGCCTGCTCCCCGCTGGCAAGTGGACATCCCCTGAGGGCTCCCGGGCTGCCAGAGGGATGTCTGATTGCCATTTTAGGCCAAATCCCCCGGGGAGCAGGCCTAAGCCAGCAAGTGGTCATCCCCTGAGGGGTCCCAGACTGCGAGAGGGCACAGGCCGGGCTGAGGGGCCCCTCCTCCCCCGAGTGCACAAATTTTTGTGCACCGGGCCTCTAGTAAATTCATAATTGTTATTAAAAAAAAAAAAAAGAAAATACCAGAGGACGTAACACTTGCTGCCTGTTGCACGCCCCCGACTGGGGATTGAGCCTGCAGCCTGGGCGTGTGCCGTGACATGGAATCAAACCCTGACCTCCTGGTACATACATAGGTCACGCTCAACCACTGAGCCACATAGGCCGGGCTGAGGTAGCACTTCTTACTCATCCTAGGTGGCCAGCAATACCCAACTACAACAACCAAACAAATTACAAAAACAACAGCAACAAAAACCCCAAACTACACAATAATATCCCCCTAAACACAGACACAAAAATCCTCAGCAAAATCATAGCAAGTTGGATCCTGCTGTATCTAAAAAGGAAAACACATTATGACCAATCAGGATTTATCCTGGAACCTAGAGCTGGCTCAACATGCTAATAGCAACCCATGTTAGGAGACTAATATAATCATCTCACTCATTCCATATCCATTCATGATAAAAACTCTGAGCAGACTAGGAGTAGACTAGGAGTAGAAGGAAACTTCCTTCACCGGTAATAAAAAACGTTTGTGGAAAACCTACGCTAACTTTATTATACTTTATGGTGAAAGACTCATCTTTCTTCCTGAGATCAGTAATAAAACGAAGAAGTACTGCCTCACCATCCAGTTCAGCCGCATTGCTGGAGGTCTTAATTAGCACAGTGAAGGTAATAACAAGAAATACGAGATAAACAGATTGGAAACAAAACAATAAAAATTGTCTCTATTCACAGACACCATGGTTGCCTATAAAGAAAATCACAAATTTTTTGTTTGCTCTTAACCCTCCCCCCAGGGATATTTTTTTCCATTGCTTTTTTAAAGGGAGTGGAAGGGAGGTGGGGGGAGAAAGAGAGAGAAACACTGATGTGAGAGACACATTAGCTGGTTGCCTCCCACATGTGCCCTGGAGTGCAGGATCAAACCTGCAACACAGGTACCTGCCCCTGACCAGGACTTGAAGCCACTACCATTTGGTTTGTGGGCTGATGCTCTACCCACTGACCCACATTGTTCGGGCGCCAAAAAAGCTATTTTAAAAAGCTCCCTGAAGCCCTAACTGGTTTGGCTCAGTGGATAGAGCGTTGGCCTTCGGACTCAAGGGTCCCAGGTTCAATTCCAGTCAAGGGCATGTACCTTGGTTGTAGGCACATCCCGAGTGGGGGGTGTGTAGGAGGCAGCTGATCGATGTTTCTCTCTCATCGATGTTTCTAACTCTCTATCTCCCTTCCTCTCTGTAAAAAATCAATAAAATATTTTAAAAAGTCCTTCTTTAAAAAAAAATAAAAATAAAAATAAAAAATAAAAAAAATAAAAATAAAAAGCTCCTTGAAGTACCAAGCCAATCATATTCCTATATACCATCAATAAACAACTGGAATTTGAAATAAAAAGAAAAATAACCTTTACAATAACACCTCCCCCTCCTAAAATGAAGCACTTAAGTCTAATCAGTGACTTCTTATCAATTTTAAAAGCAAAGTCATTCCTATTGATTAAAGCTAAAATAAGCAACTAACCCACTAATTAACCAGTTAATTTTAATGTCCAGAAATATTTCATTTTTACAATAATCAAATATCTCGGAATATTAGTGTTTTTTTTTAGAAAAATATATCATCACCTGTTCATGTTCAGTACCAAAATCATCATCCTCTGCTCCAATAATGTGAGGTGCTGTGCGGGTTGCGGGGCTCCCAATAAGTGACTCAGTGTCCTGGTGATAGTCAGAGAAAAGAAACAGAAAAATTACCTGTCATCAAATTCAGAGAAAGAATAAAGCCAAACCATCAAAGAAATGTCGTTTACCAAACAGCTCTGACTTCTTTTTATTTGTTTTTTTATGTACTTCACTCTGAAAGAAGTGGTTCTCAAATTTTCAAGACCATGAACCACAGCAACAAACAAACTACAACAGTATTTGGGGGGGGGAGGGGGCACAGTTCTCCTGGAAATAAACATTCTTTGCTCACTATACCCCTGGTTATCTGATTCTAATCACTCTCAGGATACTTCATTTATTACTTCATACATTTCTAGACCTTGTTACAGAAAAAATAAAATTAGCTTATATAAGTTGTTAAAGATTAAAAAGTTATATTTTAAAATGTGAGTGAAGACATCAGGGCAAAGGAAAAATGAGAGTAGAAATGATAAGACAAAATTTGCAGAGGTTAATAAGAAGATTTCTATTAATGTCACATATTGAAAACTGTTGCTAAACCTTATTTTTTCATTTTTAATTATTTTTCCTAAGTGCATATTGCAGGGCTTCCAGCCCTGCACTGTTGATATTTTGGGACAGGTAATGCTTTGCTGTGCATTGTAAGGTGTTTAACAGCATCCTTCCCTCTACACACCTACTGGATGCCAGTAATAGCCTCCCAGCCACGACAATCAAAAATGTTCCCAGATATTACCAAGTATCCTAGGGATAAAATCACTCCTGGCTGAAAATCACAGGCACATGGAAAATTAAAATTTAAAGCAATCACATAAAACACTGCTACAGAAACAAAAACGACAAAATTACAAAAATACAGATCTTACTCCATGAAATAGAACATCCATTTGTCAATTCATTGTGTAAAATTCAGCATGAAATAGGCAGTGTAGAGGCATCTATATATAAAAAAGCTCAGTGACTGTTACCGCGGAATGACCAGAATGACCAGTCGCTATGATGTGTACTGACCACCAGGGGGCAGATGCTCAATGCAGGAGCTGCCTCCTGGTGGACAGTGCACACCCACAGCAGGAGTGCCACTCAGCCAGAAGCCTGGCTCATGGCTGGCGAGCGCAGCGGTGGTGGCGGGAGCCTCTCTTGCCTCCAAGGCAAGAGAGGTGAGCAGGCAGGATGGTGAGCCAAGGGGTAAGGAGTAAGCAGGTGAAGGTGAGGAGGGAGCAGGTGGGAGCTGAGGAGGGAGCAGGTGGGAGGTTAGGAGGGAGCAGGTGGGAGCTGAGGAGGGAGCAGGTGGGAGGTTAGGAGGGAGCAGGTGGAGGTTAGGAGGGAGCAGGTGGAGGTGAGGAGGGAGCAGGTGGGAGCTGAGGAGGGAGCAGGTGGGAGGTTAGGAGGGAGCAGGTGGGAGCTGAGGAGGGAGCAGGTGGGAGGTTAGGAGGGAGCAGGTGGAGGTTAGGAGGGAGCAGGTGGTAGGTTAGGAGAGAGCAGGTGGGAGCTGAGGAGGGAGCAGGTGGAGGTTAGGAGGGAGCAGGTGGGAGCTGAGGAGGGAGCAGGTGGGAGGTTAGGAGGGAGCAGGTGGCAGGTTAGGAGGGAGCAGGTGGGAGGTTAGGAGGGAGCAGATGGGAGGTTAGGAGGGAGCAGGTGGGAGCTGAGGAGGGAGCAGGTGTGAGGTTAGGAGGGAGCAGGTGGAAGGTTAGGAGGGAGCAGGTGGAGGTTAGGAGGGAGCAGGTAGGAGGTTAGGAGGGGGCAGGTGGGAGGTTAGGAGGGAGCCAGGTG